CCCACCCACCCCAGCAGACGATGACCCCAATCGCGTACACGCTGCCCCACATGCGCTTATCCGGATTCCCTGCACACGCACACAAAGTCGCACAGACTCGTACTCACAGCAGCCAGCAGATGAGATGTGTGGGAGGTGTCAACCGCATTCATTCATTCACCGGTGTAGTATCCGAGTGCGTAGATGAGTCTGCCGACGATCCAGATGAAGCCCCCGATGGCCGAGGTGATTGGGTACTTGAGGCCGCCCAGCAGCATCACCGCCAGGAACATCGTCAGGTTCTCCAAAGTGTTCTGATGCGCACGCTGGTAGCAGTTGAACGCATCGCAGTCCTGATGGATAGATAGACAAGAGATGCATGGAGAGAGATGACACACACAGACACACACACAGACACACATCTGGAACACACAGGCCAGCGCAGACGTCGAGTGCGTCGTGGCACCGACCGCATCAGTGAGTTCGAGGAGTCTATCGCCTTCGCCGCTGGCGTCCTTTCGGCGCGTGACGCCCTTGATGGCGTACATGTCGGGATACGACACGCCATATCTGCCGACACGACATCAACCACACACACAACCACACACGCACACGCCCGCATCATGCACCAGTCTGGAGAGCCCCTGATGTGTTTGTCTGTGTGCCACCACACCGCACCTCTTGCGGGCGACTCCGACCATGATGCTCTTGAACATGAGCAACACAAAGGCCAGCACAACATTCAACACGCACAAGCCGTAGCCTGACAGGACGGAGGGAGATGAACCAAGTCGATAGATGTTGATGGAAGATCCTGTAGCGAGTGTTTGCTTTCTTTGCTCACTTGCGTCAAGCTCGATGACAGCCATGATGCCGTGCTGCTTGCTCTCTTTAGGGCTTTAAGGTAACGGAAAGCGACCAGATCGTCTGATCTCGAGTCTACCGGGCATCAAGACCATCCATTCACGCAGGCAAGAGAGCAAAGTGCAGGCGGGATCACTACTGCAAGCAGCTGGGGACTCATCGCACAGAAAAGAGGCAGCATCGAGTCACACCACACGACACACACGCACACTGCAGAAACCACACCACCGAGGCAGGCATGCCACACGCCATACACCAACGCGCACGCACCAGACTACCTGTCCGCGGCAGAATACAAACACAGTGCAACCTATTCCCACTTGGCACAAACCCCGGTCGGAGAATTCATATAGGGGATGATCAGCTTCTGCGAGCTTAGGGGCAAGAAAAAGATAGCGTTTCAAACCGGAGATCTGTCTGTCGCTGTATCGTGTGCTGGCGAGCGCCGCTCGTCCATCCGTCCCTCCGTCCCTCTGAAGCTGTCGTCTGGACGAGTGAGTGGTCCCCCGGGGATGTCGCAGCAGATCATCGTGGGCGGTCGTGCCCTCACAGTGGGTGAGATCATAGCCGTTGCGCTGCGGAAGGCCAAGGTGGTGCTGGACCGCGCCACCCTCGACAAGGTGCAGCAGGACTTCGACAGGAAGTTCAGGGGCTCATCCACCACACCATGGCAGATCCCGCCATCCCCGGCCACACCCGCGCCCCTCATCCCATCATCTGGCGTCGGCAAATGCCCCCCTCTCCTCAGCCACGAGACCCTGCGGGCCGTCGTGTTGCTTCGGCTGGTGACGGTGCTGCACCAGCAGAGTGGGGTGCGGCCTCAGGTGGCCGGGTACCTGACCGAGCTGCTGAACAACGGCGAGGACAAGGCCGCCAGCGACATCTTGAGCGAGCTGCAGCAGCCCGCCCTGAGTGACCAGCAGGCGATGCAGCTGCTGCTCAAGCATTACGGCGTCGAGGGCCTATCGGCCGAGGAGGCCTCGGTCTTCTGCTCGGCGGGGTACCCCTGGACGGTCGCACGGCTGGTCATGAGCTGGCAGCTGGGCCAGGTGCTCGCACAGATGGCCGACTGCTCGTCGGTGCTGGCCATCGAGGCGCTGCAGCTGCCGACGCCCTTTCTTGACCTGGACGGGCGGCGTCAGCACGAGGGTGCAGTGGTGGCGGCCAACCGCATCAAGTGGCTCCTGGAGGAGTCCAAGACGGCCAAGAAGCCAGACGAGACCCACAAGACGAGACTCATGGCCCGCTGCGTGTACGTCCATGGCGCCCTGGTCGACAGCCTCGAGCAGCTCATGCGAGCCATCAGACCGGAGCTCAGGGCATTCGCCAGCAGGAAGAGTGTGGCCGAAGGTAGGTACCTAAGAGACAGACAGCGAGTGCGTGAACTCATGAGCGCCGGGGGGAGGGAGGGAGTCATGGCGTGGGTGCTGTGCTGTGCTGTGCAGGTGATACTGCGTCTGTTGTCGAGGGCGATGAGGATCTGAATGCGTTGCCGCTGATGGTCCCCGCCATGTCTGTGAGGGAGGCCACCATACGCTGCGCCAAGACTGCCATCCAGGTAGGTACACCACACCACTCATGGCTCACCGATGCATCACGGCACCGCACTTGACTGCACCTGGCTGTGGGTTGGCTGTGCAGGAGGCCGAGCTGGTTCTCGAGCGAAACCAGGCCACCATTCCAGAGGTGCGCACAGCTTAGCTAGCTTCACCGGGTGGTGTGCATCGTCTGTCTCATCAGTCAATCAAGCTGGTGTCTGCCTGTTAGGATGTGGCCCCGCTGCCCGACACCCCTGCCTCTGCGGACCGCACAAACATCACTGTTCCCCCCACTGCAGAGGTGGGCCACATCACGGACGGATAATACAACAAAAGTATCAGCCCACGCCAACGCCCATGCCCACAACCTGTGTGTGTGTGTATGTGTGTGTGTGATGGTCGCTGCGCCAGACCCACTCGTCAGAGTCCCACGCGCGTCTCGAGGGAACTCTGAAGGACATCAAAACGTCGATTGCGGCATTCCAGACGTACGTGTGCGTCAGTCAAGAAGCGGAGAGATCGACGCAGAGAGCGATCGTGTTGTGTATGTGTGTTTGCCGCGTGTGCAGGAGTGCCCTCCCCAATGGCGACCTGCCAAGCGTCCTGACGGACGTCGAGAAGGTGCGTGTCCTGTCCTCTCTGGCCCATCTCATCTAGCCACAAATCCATCCTTCCATCCATCCATCCACTTATTTATGGGTTGCCTTTGCCTGCCTGCCTGCCTGGCTGCGTGCGCTTGTGCGTCACGTTGCAGTCGTTGGATCTCCTGAGGAGGAGTGTGCTGTGCGAGGCCGCCGGGGCGCTGCAGATCTTCGCCAAAGAGGAGGTCGACAAGTACAGAAAGGCCCTGGAGGTGCGGTGGGCAGCTGACCGAACAAACACACCACAATGACAATGGACATCCTGCGCTTGGGTCGACGATGTGTGGCTGGCTGGCTGGATGGATGGGTTTGTGTGTTCGTTCAGGCGATGGAGAAGAAGAAAAAGAACGTGTCCACCAAGCTCACCATCGGCAGGCCCGTCGAGAGATTCAGACAGTGCCTCAACTCAGTCGTCTACCAGGTGGGCACACGCACTCCCCCACTCACTCACACAGGTCCCCCTCTCTCTCTATCTCTCTCTATCTGTCTTGTCTGTCTCTTGTTTGTGCCTGTGGTGTTTGGGTCGTCAGGATGCCGGCGGCAGGATGGACAAGTGCGACGAGTGTCTTTTGGGTCAGCTGACGGCGGCATGTCTTATCGGCATGGCAGACAGCCTCGAAGACATACTCACCGTCAGAAATCAGGTCCGTTCCTCTGTGCGTGTGTGCGTCTATCGGGTCAGCTTTGGTCTGCTTGGTGTGCTGTGGTGTGCTGGTTGATTGGGTGGGTGCAGGAGACGCGCAAGCCGAAGGTAGCCAAGGGAACGCAGGACTACACACCCATACAGATGGCCATTCGAAAGCAGGTCCCTCCCTCCCTCCCTCCCTCCCTCCACAATTTCGCTCTCCACACCAATTGTATGTGTATGGCTGTGTAGGTGATGCGCGCCATCGCCGATGTGTTTGAGCGCCACGGCGCCGTGCAGATCGACACGCCCGTCTTCGAACTCAAGGTGCGGCCGGGCGTCCGTCAGACGGACACAGACAGACAGACGAAGAGAGAGCAACGCACCCACGCACCCCATCACTCACCTCACGTGTTGGGCTCGCCGCTTCGCTTCTGGCTCTTCAGGAGACTCTCATGGGCAAGTATGGCGAGGACCAGAAGCTCATCTACGACCTCAAAGACCAGGTAAAATACCCCCCCCCCCACACACACACAGACAGACAACACAACCTCTTTCACCCCGTGGCTCATCAATCCAATCCAATCCTATCCTACACACACATTATGTTTGTTGCACCATACCACCAGGGTGGCGAGCAGCTGTCGCTGCGGTACGACCTGACTGTGCCCTTTGCGCGTTTCTGCGCGTTGGGCAACGTCGAAAAGATCAAGCGGTACCACATCGGCAAGGTGTACCGGCGCGACGAGCCGCAGCTGGCCAAGGGCCGCTTCCGCGAGTTCTACCAGTGCGACTTCGACATTGCGGGGACCTACGACACCATGCTGCCCGACGCTGAGGTCATCACGGTGAGCGAGCGACTAAGTACTGACTGAGTGAGGAAGGGAGTGATGTGATGTGATGTGTGGACACATCGACGGGCAGGCAATATGTTGGGGGATGGGTGGCATGCAATGCAGGTGTTTTGTGAGATTTTGGACCAGTTCTTTCCCAACGGGGGCTTCCAAGTCAAGATCAACCACAGGTGCCTGGGGCCTCTCTGTGTGGGCGGATGGGATGCGTCTGAACGGAACGGACTAATGCGTGTGGGTGTGGTGTGCGCATGTGCGCGTCAGGAAGCTGTTGGATGCGATCATGGAGGTGTGTGGCGTGCCGCAGCAGAAGTTCCGCCCAATCTGTTCGGCCATCGACAAGCTCGACAAAGAGCCCTGGGACAACGTCAAACGCGAAATGATCGACGAAAAGGTCAGATCCATCCATCCATCCATCGGGGCAGTGCACTCGTCGTGTCTGAATCTCTCTCTCTCTCTCTCTCTCTCTTTGTCTCTTCGGTGTGTAGGGTTTGAGAGAGGAGGTGGCTGACCGCATAGGCGAGTACGTGGTGCTCAAGGGACGGCCAAAGGAGATGATCGAGCGCCTTGACACCATGACCAACCTGCTCAAGTCAACTTCAGCTCAGGTGAAAGGAAAGACGCACGCACATCAAACACGTCCCTCCGTCAGTCGCATTGATCATGTGTGCGCTTGGCCTGAGCAGACGGCTTTATCGGAAATGAAGCTGCTGGTCGACTACGTGACAGCCCTGGGCGTCATCGACCGCCTCTGTCTCGACCTGTCCCTTGCCCGTGGCCTCGAGTACTACACTGGCGTCATCTACGAGGCCGTCACGCTGAGTGGCGAGAGCGGCATCGGGTCCGTGGGCGGGGGCGGCAGGTACGACCACCTCGTCGGCATGTTCGCCGGCAAAGACATCCCGGCCGTCGGCGTGTCCATCGGTATGCAGACAGACAGACAGACAGACAGGTATATCTGTGTGCGTTGGGCTGGGCAAATGTCAGGCATTGAGCGGGTGTTTGCGGCGATAGAGAGCAAGTTCGGTCTGAAGGGTGATGCCTCATCTGCTGCTGCGTCGGAGACGGCGACGGACAAGAAGAAGGGCGGCAAGAGCGGCGGCGCCACACGGGACGGCACGGGCTCACAGCAGCAGCAGCAATCGTCCGAGGTGCACAGTGTCGTTCGTGATGCGGCCACCGACGTGCTCATCTGCACCATCGGCGACAACTTGCTGCTGTACGCCAGCCAGCCAGACAGACAGACAGACAGAGACACAACACACGATGGATGGATGGATGGATGGATGGTGTCCATGCGTGTGGTGCAGGGAGCGGTTGGCAATGGCTCGTGAGCTGTGGGATGCGGGCATCGCGTGCGAGTTCGTGTACGTCGAGAAGCCCAAGCTCAACAAACAACTCAACCACGCTTCCGACAACAGTAGGGAAGGAACAGCACCACGACCGCCATCCATTCTCCCATCTCTCTGTCTGTCTGTCTGTCTCTCCACCTCTCCGTCTGTCCCTTCACCGATGGATGGATCCACCAGAGATCCCGTTGGCAGTGATCATGGGTGAAGACGAGCTCAGCAAGGGCGTCGTCAAGGTGCGCTTCCTCACCCACGGACCACCGGCACCACAGGAGGCACCTGCCGCCGACCCCACCAGCAGCAGCAATGGCGTCAACACGGCCACCACACAAGACCAACAGCAACAGCAGCCACCGGAGAAGAAGGAGATCGAGGTGGGTGCGTGAGCTGACGGGTGGGAGGGCGGCTGTCTGTGGTATGTGTGTCCGGTGTGAATGTCAGGTGGAGCGTGGTGCGCTGGTGTCTCGTCTGCGTGGGATATTGGCCAAGACCAAGACCTCGTCGGAGCGCCTCTACGACCACATCATCAACAACACCAACACTAGCAGCAGCAGCAGCAGCAGCAGCAACGGCAACTGACCCACCCGCACATGCACACGGGTTGGTGACGGGCACACAAGTGCGGTGCGCGTCTCGGTCGGTTGCAGTAGCCTTCGTTCATTCTTGAGTGAGTTGTGTTGACGGATGGGCGATTTTGGGTCGTTGGCTGGCTGGTTGGCTGGCTGGTTGGTGAGGGTGCGTTTATGAGAATGTGACGCATGCAAGGTGTGAACAGGCCGACACACGTACATGTGTGGTTGATTGGAAGACCACTGAATTAATGCTTTGTGTCGGCGGCAGTAATGTGTTTTTTCTGTCTCCCGACAAGAATTCTGGCCAAGTTCGCAATATATCAGTGCTTTGTGCTGGTTGTGTCGGACATCGCGGAATGTTAGCATGATTGTCTGCCGGTGAAGCTGGTGAGTGTCATTTACTTCTGAGGTAGTCGGTGTGCACATCTGGGCCGACTGATCACACCGACGACAGACAGGCCGACTCTCTCTTCTCTTCTTATCACGCCCGAACACTTGTGCATTCGCAGCCACTCACTTCTGCTCCAAAAAGATGGACAGAGCCAATATACCACCCGTGTGTGTCACCACCCCAACGCTCGTGCACAGCCTGTCAGTCAGTCACTTCTCCTCCAAAAAGAAAAACAGAGCTATCCTCGCCATACACATGAGATGAGACAGCTACACACGAAGTCGCACATGTTGGCGCCACACAGACTATATTGGCATGGGCCGATGGACATGCGCTCATAGACACGCACCCATACGAATGATATCAACACCGCCAGCCAGCAAGCCAGCGAGCCAGCGAACAGCCAGCCAGTCGTCACGTCTGTAGGCTCGTGTCTCGATCGACTTGAGAGAGTGTCCTTCATGTACAAAGTCGGACTATCTGTGGCCGGGAAGCCAACTCACATGAATCACCATATTTGTGTTGGTATCCTGCTCTTCTTCTGACAGCTGAAACAAATTGTGTGTGTGTGTGTGTGTGTCGCTGGTGTGGACTGCAATGAACAGGAGCGCGGAACAACTGACTATATATCAACACATTGATTTCAGACGGTCCGTACGTGTCTGTTGTCTGTCACTCCCCACCACGCAATGCAATCAGGCCATCCTGTAAACGCTCATGAGCAGGTTTGAGAAGGCTCCTACGATCTGTGACACTCTCGCCCCTATCATCGACTGCCCCGGGGGCGGGAATGCCTCAAAATCATACCGATAGATCAGCACGGGGCGCGTCACCCACGTGTCGTTGGCTGCATTGCACCAAAGAAACAAACACAGAGAGAAACCGCACCAGACGTCCCCACGAGCTGCCTGAGCCATTGACTTGACCTCGACCTCACTGACTGACCTTTTCCCCTGTGCAGTGTTCGCGAGTCGTAGAGCAGCACGTCGCCCTCCTGCAGCTCACCCTCCACGGGACCTGCGTCAAGAAAGCGGCATCGTGCCGGATGTGGCTGCTCGTTCCTTCCTCTTTATAGCACTAGTCAGTCACCTCCGATGCTCTGCACTCTGCCATGGAACTGGAAGATCTCCCTTATCTGCTCGAACGCGCTCCGTTTCTGCAAAGCAATTGAGAGGGAGGGAAAGGGGAGCATCAACTACTACAGAGCACTCCATCCATATGTGCTGTGCTATGATGCTAACTAACGTCGCTCGGGAAGAGTCGGTGAGACGCCGGGAGGACTTCGGTTGGCCCATTCTTGTGGCGAATGTTGCAGAGAGCGAGGACAACAGTGATGCCAGGCGACCTGAAGCGGCAAGAAGCAAGGAGGGCAACGAGAGAGAGAAGGTGTCACTGCTAAAAAATGGTACTAGCAGGTCGGTGGCTTCTCACCAGTTGTCGATGTGCCAGAACTGGTTCTCGGCCATGGGGTCTGACACTCAGAGCATACCCACTCTTTCGGCGTCAGTGTATGTGTGGCTGTGATCGTCTTACCTGCAATCAGCAGCTGTAGCTGCGACACCATCAACCTGTGCATGATCAATTGCACCACACAAAAGCTCTTGACGACTTCCAGGTTCCGCCACCTTCGTAGGTCGTTTACCTTTTCGCCCTCATCGATTCGGCCAGCGTCTGATCTGCGTCCTGCTCCACCGGCTCCGCCATGGCCTTGCTCGCCGCGCTGCGTGGCACCGGAGGCCCCTCCCTCGCTGCTTTCTCGCGGCTGGGTGTAGCCTGGCTGACGGCGCCGGAATTCCCCTCGCTGCTCGAGGTGTTGCCCCACCGTCTGACGACATCAATCGCCTTTTTTGTGAAGGTTTCGCACGGGAGAGATGCGTAGACGAGAGGCATCCAGGGAGCCTGGTAGTCGACGACTTTGCGCTCGAGGGTGGTGGCACGCACCAGCAGGTGCAGACGCCCTGAGGGACAAGCAGACGGAGAAAGTGTTCATGTTCGTGTCTGAACGCCCACGCCGTCCGTGTCTTGCTGACCTCTTGTCGGCCGCGAGCAGTAGACACACGGATCTTCCTTCAAAATCTTCTCGCCACACGCCGAAGCCTAGAGAATGGCGCCGGCGAACGGATCGACCGTACTGACCGACCTGTAGCACCCGAGCCTTCCTACCTACCGTTGCCTTGCTGATGTAGAGCTCTCGGCGAAGGTGCTCCACCTCTTCGGGGGTCAACGCGCCCTTGATCTTCACCACACCTGTTGGTTGATCCATCCACGCACGGCAGGGAACACCCAATGGACGACAAGACAAGCATCACAAGTTTCTCTGCCTGTACTCCCCACCCCATTTCCTGAGGTGTTTCAGTGCCGTCTCAAGCTCCTCTGTGCCGAGCGTTCTGAATGGCGGCGTCGGATCAGGCTCGATCCCCTCGCCTTGCTTCTTGGCCTCCTTAGTTTCTTCCAGCTTCTTGAGCTTTTCCGCCTCTTCGAGGCGCTTCTTGGTGTCGAAGTTCTTCAACGCCCATGCCCATGTCTTTTTGTTTTCCTTCTCGACGGCCTCTGAGGTCTTGCCCTGGTGCGCCTTCTCGAGCCTTCGCTTCTCGTCCAGCTGCTCCTTTCTCTTGATGTCCGAGTCGAGTGACGGCACGAGGTAGGATGCAGTGCGGGTACCCACGTTCACCGTCTCCGCCTCGTTGCTCATGCGGGGGCCGAAGAAACCCTCCTTGTACGTGTAAGGGTCGAAGTAGCCCGACAACTGATCACCCAGAATATATTCACCAAGCGAGCGTTGCCAGGGCGCACACCTCATTGTGCCTCTTCTGAGTCCATCCTCACCTTCCAGTTGGCAGTGAGGTAGGTGTAGAGGGTGTCTTCAAAGTGCCTTGACATCTTCTCGCATGCCGTCGGCCCCAGGCTGACCTGCATGTCGTCGGGCTCGTGTCTTGCGCCCCCGGCCGATGAAGACGTTGGTACTGCTGCCGTGTTGGTTGGGAGAAGGTTGAGATCCACCCTTGTGAATTCAGATCGCAGCTCGCCTGCTCGGCCGACCGCGTCGTGGAGGAAGAGAATGGCCTTGCCCCAGTGATGCAGGAAGTCATCGACATGCTGCTCGATCAGCTGACGGAGACCCTGATTTGCAAGAAAAAAGTCAAAGCTGTCTATGGGCATTGCGCGTCTGCCTCCTTCCTGAGCTCATCACCCACCTTCACTGTGAGGTCCTGTTGCTCATGCGCCGCTCTCTCAATGGCCTGGGTCAGTCGGTTGATGAGCATCTGCGTCATCTGCACGTGGTAGTCGACAGGGTAGGCATGGTCGGCGGCGGCCTTGTACTCCTCCAACGTGAAGCCGTGACGACGACCGAGGCTGAACACAAAATGGACATCCACACACAGGGTTCTGCCAGCTTGTGTGTATGCCTTCCGACCCACTCTTGGATGAAGCCTTGAGATGGGAGGTCTGCATCAAGCTTTTCGCGAGGGGGTATCTCCACAGTGACTTGAGGAAGCAGCGGCTTCGGGGGGTTCGTAGTCTTCTTATAGTGATAGTAAACGCCAAGAGAAACTGACAAGGACAGCAGAGCAACCTCAGTCTTGGCCTGATCTCGTCCGCACTGTGTGATCTGCGTGCATCCCTACCCAGTCCAAGGCCGATGCAGCCGAGCAAGTTGAGCGACCACGAGACACCCTTCATGAGCAGATGCGGCGCAGCGTCGTACTTCTCCATCTTCTTGATGAGCTTATATTGCCGCTCTGCGCGTTTCTCGCCGATCTCGTCCGCTGACGGTCCCTCTCGTCCCTGGTTGCGACTGGCACGCTGCGCCCCTCGGGTGATGCGAATCGCTTGCTCTTGCCGCTGCTCGCCCGGGGATGGCTTCGTTGCAGTTCGCTGGAACTGAGCTGTGCTCTGGTACAGGCGGATCCACACCAAAGACCTCTTGCTTCCATGCTGCCGAAGGTGGATGAGAGATCTTGTCAGAGTCGATAACATGATGGATGAATGCGCAGCAGCCATCTCTATCCACCCATCCGACGGCTTTGGCGGCGCTGAAGGATGCAGTAGCGGTTTCAGGGAGCACCCTAAGCGCTGGAGGATGCCGACCTTGGAGGAGATCTGCAGGAGTGTGCGCGCAGCAGGGAGGCTCTAGCGCACAGGAAGACCACACGCGCAGCCAGAGGAGCTTTTCTCTGTCAAATGACCACTCCTGCAATATGTCGGTCTTGTCGGTCTCTTTTGTGCGTGTCAGAGATGCCTGTGACTCCGGTGTGTGACGGCGGTCTCGCGGGTGGTGCTACGAAGGCTCTTCGTTGGTCCTGCGGCATTATCAGCCAGCGCCTGCAAGGATTACGTCTGCACATGAGGGCTCTGCTTGCGCAGGTCTTTCTGGGGTATCGGCCATGGGGTATCGGCGATTGATTGGTTGATTGAGTGAGGCTGCCGGCGAGCATGCGTCAATGGCGGACTTCGTCGCACGGGGGTGCGTTGGACAGACTAGGGAGTGGCTGTTGAGTCCATTTAACAGCACAGGATGGATTGGGATGTGCAGGCGTCCTCGTTGCCACCCACGCGAGGGGTGGTCACTGACGCCCTCTCGGTTGCGACCCTGAATAGGCCATGTGCGTGAGTGAGTTGTCGGACTCTGTTACACACGATACCAGGCAGGCAGGCAGGCAGGCGGCGAAGAAGGAGCACGCCATGCATCCAGTCCGTATCTCGTACCGCCCGAACAGTCAGGCAAGAACAGGGATGTATTCCGCAGCGACTGAGCTTCGATGCATGTCAGTCAATCAGGTCGTTTGTATTTCCAGGTTTCAAACCAATGAAGCACACGAATCACAGGCAATGGTAGATAATCTGTGTCACTGACTTATGTGTCCCCATATGTCCTTCGTGCGTCTCATCCATCCACCACCGTCATCATCCACCACTGCACAAGTACACGCAGAGAGAGAGAGATGATAGACAGCGAAGGCCAACATGGAAGGACGTCGTGTTTTTGTGATTGGTAAAGGACTCGCGATCGGCGGCCAATCCCATGCACTCACACACCGTACGATGCGATGTACTCTGTCTCTCAACCGAACAGACAAAACAAAGCCCTATATATCGCATGTGCAACTACTAAATCGGCCTCGAGGCTGGAGCGAGTTGGCATGCCTGCCTTCCTGTCACAGGGCCTTGCTTCTCCTGTCATGGAAGCCAACTGACGACATGACGTTGTGAGGCACTCAAGGACGCTTCGCATGCACTCAGTGACTGTGTGGCTTTGTGTCTCATTATGACTTTGGTCTGGGTCCGTCATTAATTGTTCTCGTTGCTCGCCAGTGCATCGTTGCAGCGAGACACGAGGCGTTTGTACGCAATGTACAAATGGAAGCGCTCAATTTGATGTGGTACGTATGTGGTCACGGCGGGTCAGCCAAGCGCCTGCCATCTGTCTGTTTATACCCTCCGACCGCCTCCTGTACGTTGGGGTCGGCAATTTTGAAATCGGCATTTCTGTGCACGGCACTCTTCTGACAGAAGAAAGAAAGAAAGTATATATATACATATATATATTCTTTTCTTTCTTGCTTTCTTAAAAGAATATGTATACATATGTACTTTTTTCTTTCATACATCAATGTGTGTACGTATATTTGACACCGAACCATACCTGACACACACACGCTGACTGGTATGCGCTTCCTCTTGGTGTCCGTGGCGTGGAAGCAGACGAAGGTCCAAACTTCGGGTTGGACCTTCCTTCCTCCTGCGGGTCAATAATTGGTCTGTACATGCCTGTCTTGGTCCATTCATCCATCCATCTATCCGTCCATCGCCCCAAAGAGCATGTACGACACGACAATTGTCGTGTGCATTGAGAAAAGAGGATGTCGCGTGTTTCTGTCTCCATCCGCAAAGCAAACCAATCGTCCAAGCAGACATGTCATGGCAGCTCAAACATACTTGAATGAAAAGGACAAAACTCGTACGTGCTTACTGACTGATACTTGTTCTCATCGGCAGTGGTCAAGAAAATCACCAAAACGACTGGCAGATTGCGAAACATGATAGCAGCGCCGCCGATGCCCAGTGCCAGCAAGTGCATCCTGATGACGCCCGGCTCGGTTATGCTCTTAATCAGGGGCAAGTTAGCAGAGCGCACGAGGCAGAGGTAGAGCGCACCCTCAAACAAGACTTCGATCAGCACCATGAGTCCCAGACCTACTAGCCTCTCTAGCAGGTGACGGACGGATGGAAAGAGGATCTGGCCGACAGTGATGTTGAAGAGGTTGGTGAAGATGAGCACTGTCAACTCGATCAAGCTGTAGGCATGCATTTGCTGCAGCAGTGGGGGCAAAAAAGTGTAGAATGGATGGATTTCCTTGTCTGTCGCTTTCCTTCCTTACATCGCTGAGACGCCGAAGGAATATCGGGTGATAGCCAAATTGAACAACCTGAGTGGGGACGTCCAGAAACGTGCTCAAAGACCTCATAGAGTAGCGACCGGCCGCCTCGAAAGTCATCATGGTCGTAGAAAGGCGGCTGAGTAGCATGACCGGCGTTTGCTTATCGCGCGTTTCCTGAGTATCTTCAGCAGTGACAGTGTTGAAGTGCCGATGTCGTACCGGCCTGCATAGGAATCGCACCAGGCTTCTTCTCGCGGCACCACCTATGAGAACGAAATACGGCATGGCTAGGTCGGTAACGAAGTCGAATGATGCAAAGATCAAGCTCCACAGGAGCTGGTAAGGAGAGACATGTCCAGGAAAGACGAGGAATGGATCTGACGCGAGGACAGCGTCGATGTGCCCACCTACCTGAGAGGAGGTATGTTCCATCTCGGCCTGGACAACCCTTGGGAAGACTGCGAAGCCGAACGCTACAAACGTGATTGCAGGAGACGTTTGCAGGGCAGGGCCGTCCTTCAGAGAACGAACGATGCCTGTGACTGAGACACAGACCGAATACGCATGGAAACATGCGAATGTATCCATCGATCGAGTCGCATTTCTTACGGGTCGCAACAAGGAGCCCCACCACGAGCAGCCAAGTTAAGATGACGCCTGTCTTCTCGCGATCTGTTGTTGCACTCCGGGCAAGTGGCACAAAGTAGAGGGGTACGGCAAACGAAAAACACATGACCACTACAGAAATGACCCATGTCTTGAGAATATACGCCCGCTTCCTCACAACTATCGTCGATGTCAGAGCCACTTGGCGAAAGACCCTGATAGGACAGGCACAACGACAGAGAATATGTGCTTACTATCACAATTCTTCTCTCACATGAGGGGTATGAACACCTTAATGGGGAAATGCATGAACGGCGCATATTTGTGGCGTTTCCGCAGGGCCTCGACGTGGTGGAAAAGTGCAAATGCCACGTATGGGGCAAACCCAAGAAGGAAGAAATGCCAGGTCGTCCTGAAGCGGCGGACAGCCCCAATTCCGCTGCCCTCAGCCACAAGTAGTATCAAAGCCATATAGCATAGGGCAGCGATGATGCGGCGAGTTACATCAAGGACTATGCCTGCCGCTCTCGCGCTCATCTTCTCGCACGCCGACCAGTACGACAGCCACACCAGGGCCCAACAGACTGCAAAGCCGACGGCTGCAATTAGGTGGAATAAGAGTACCTGGAAAGTGACAGATCTGGAAGGACTGCGACATTGTGCGAATGATTACCTTCGTAACTCTTCTTGCAGTCGTCCAAAGCGGCTCAGGAGTGAAGACCGCACCAACAAATGAGCCTCCCTCATATCGCAAGTCAGTTTGGAACTCCTGAAAGGAGGCTGCACGTCCCGCGCATGCTCGGAGTTCATTCACCTTTTCTTCGAGCTCCATCTCCTCTCTGCGCAGCGCTCTCCCGCCTTCTTCTCCGTCCTCATGATAGACAACCCCCTCTTCTGAGTAGGTTTGTGTAGGCAGGCCGCAGGTCACGTCGTTGGTCCCAGTGGCGCCTGTGCTCTCCGGGTGATCAATGACATGCGCCTCGCGACCGCTGAGAAGAGCTGCTGGTTCATCGCTGACTTTCATGGCGTGTTCAACGTCGTGTTGCGGTTGAGCGGTGGTGAGCTCCGCGGTCAGCATCTTCAAAACAGGAACAATTCCGAGCCGATCCTGGGGGCTCCCTGGGGGCTCAGTCCCCACGGCGGAGCAACTTCAAAGTTCAACTTGAACTCTCTGCTCACACGCAGGATGATGCACCGGCTTCAGAGACCGTTACATTCAAATCCGATTCGGACTGAGGTCCCAAGGAACTGGTCCTCTGATGTGTACAGAACGGATGACGACAGCCCTCCGCGGCAAACAGCTGCGACCACTGCTGAGGGCTGGATGAACGGGGGTAAGACGCATGGGCACGCCAAAACTGCACGAGGATCTTGACTGGCTCATGCCTGTCTGCATTGTTGTCTCTGTCCGCGTCTTTTCCCTCTGCAGCTGCTGCGCCAAATTGGAGCGGCGGTGTGGATGTTGATCTGGCGGTGCAGATGCTCGCGAAGCAGAAGGCCCCCGGCACGGCGAGGCTGTTCACAAAGGCATGCAGGATGAGCAGAGATCCATTCATCGGGGGTCTGTTGATGGAGATCGTGTGTTTGTGATTGGTAAAGGACTCGCGATCGGCGGCCGATTCCACCACCTACCGTACTGTAGTACAGAGCCAACACAACCAACACACGTACCGTAACGATGTGCAGTACTGCGACATCTCCTCACAATCAATATATCCTAAGCACACAGCAGCACAACACACGGTCAGACACAAAAACATCGTCCAGGTCTCGTCGGTGGCCTCTCTCTCATGTGGCTGCCTCAGCTGACTTCCCAGCTTCCCTCTCTCAAGCGTGTCTGTGCCGTCGTTGCACGGCGTCTCTGCCTCCCTCACTTCTTTGGCAGTGCGACTGCTCTGGCGTCTCTGCTTCTCTGTCTGTCTGCCTGTCTCTGTCCCTCTCTCTCTCTCTCTCTCTCGTTCTCTCTGCCTCCCTGGTCCCTCCCACTCTTCCCTCCCTCCCTCCCTCTGCTGTCGCTTACCGGTTGGTGGTGTGGCGCACACGAAGGAAAGGGCGAAGAAACAGACCAAACAGCGCACAGAAGAGCTCGTCCAGCTTATTTCTCTCTTGCTGAGTCGCGTGTTCAACAACAGAATTTTTTCAAGCTTTTTGTGTATGTATGTGTGTGTGTGTGTTTGTGGATGTATGTGTGTGTGTGGCCAGACACCTAAGGGGAAAAATGATTGGATGGTGTCTCGTCACGCGTAATGCACCCAATGACAGCCAAACTGAGTGTGCACATCCGTCAGACACTGCGGCGGGCCCAAAGAGAAATATCTCCTCCTATTGGTGGTGTGTCTCGTCGGCTCAGCCCTCCAGACAACGACACACACACAGGTCCCACTGGGGCACAGTCCTCGTATTCGTGAATGCCCAAGGCTCCCAATGGCCGTCACAAGTTGGCCGTTTGTCGAGAGCGTGCTTGTCACGTCCATGGATCGAGAAGTCGTTTGTTTCTGCGTTAGTTCTGATCTTGAACGGCTTTTTGCCACTCAGCTTGCCTTTATATTTGCTCCTTGTGCACCATGTGTAGAAAGGCAAGTATGGAAGAGATAGGTCCAAGAGAGAAGCGCCGCTACACACGACCGCTACGTGCGCTCCACCCGGTCTCAAAGTTATCGTCAGCACAAAACATTTCTTTCTATGCCAAGATAATTCGGTTCCTTGACAAATACAGATTGCATGAGGATGACAGGGTACAGAACCATACAAAGATACTAGGCGATAGGTATTAAGCCCTTGAACCGAAGATACAATAAGGACCGTCCCAGCTCGTAGACGACGAGAGATATGAATTAGTTGTTGACATCGCTAATGTCGGTCTCCATGCCCAAAGTGTACATCTGCGCAACAAATCATGCGCCCACAGTTTTCGACACTCGATTTGATGGGCGCTCGGAATCGTCCTACCTGGAGATCTCCGCCCATTTTCGAGCTCCATGCCGCTCGAGCGCCACCTGACACACAAGGGATTGTACAGCACTAAGACTCTGTGCCATCGAGACTCGTACCCACGAGATACACGACATTGTTCATCAGAGCGATACCTGAGGCAGAGAGGAAGATAGAGAAGAGCCATTGCTTTCACTCGATTGGTAGTGCCTACCAGCGCCGTGGATTTGCTGCGGCATGTCCGGCCCCATGATCCACTCTCCCTCCTCTTGGTTGCAGTCAGCCTCCGCCATCGCGCTAAGTGACACCGCAACGGGAGAGTCGCCGTCCACGTCAATCGAAGGCATCTTGTTCAGCTTCTTTAGCGTCTGTTGAGCCTTGGCCTTGCGCTTGGCACATAAATGGCTGGAAGGGAGAAACTCTATATTCTTGAGGGTATCCCTGTTGTTCTTCTCCCCTCCGCCCGCCATCAGATAGTCCCTATTGACGTTGATCAGGGCAAAACCAGCACGAGCATAGTTCATCGACGGTCCAGCCGACCACTCCCCGTTCTCTGGATCATAGATCTCCACGCTGTCCGTCTCGTCGATGGATCCGCCCCATCGCCCTCCCGCCACATAAATGACCTCATCCATCACAGCAGCTGCGACGTGCTCGCGGTGTTTCTTGGGCCCCTCTCTCTCCTCCCATGTGTCCGTCTTAGGGTCATAGACCATCATGCTCGGACGACGTAGCTCCAGGTTGTCGTCATTTCCGAAGGTCTCCTCCACACCACCAATCACATAGACCAGACCACCATGCGTCACGGCTGCACCGGCAGCTCTGGGCGACGGCATCGGTGCAACAGACTGAATCTCGTTGGTCTTGGAGCTGTACTTCCAAACGTCAGTCTCCGGCTGTCGGTCTCCCCATTCACCACTGTAGCCTACAAAGGAATCGGAAGAAAAGGAAATGCTTCCTGACTGGCGATGTGGGTCGGTATCATTCTGCGGCCCACCTCCTAGGATGAGCATGCTGTCCGGCATCTCGGCTGCCGACTTGTCGGCATCAGGAAAGGCAGTAACCATGAGGTGGTGTCTTGTCTCGGGGAGTTTTGCAACGGCTTCATCGTCGTCCCACTCGCCCTCTGCAGGGTCGTACCGCCGGATGGTATGACCCGAGCCCTTGAACCCACCCACAGAATAGATTTTGCCATCCGACAACGCTATCCCTTGGTGCTCTGCCTGATGGGGCGAGGGCATTGCGGGTCCGGTCTTCCACTTGCCCTGCGTGACGCTGCAGGGAACAAACGGCAGGCTGGCAAGTGGGATGGCTTCCGTCACTCCGTTGAGCGACACGTCTACACTGGATTCCGCGCCAACAGGGCACAGGTCGACGTGGGAGTGAGAGACTTCCTTTTTCTCGTCGCGAAGGATGCGAGGGGCAGTCGCCTGCTGCTCCAAGCAGGACGACGATGCGAGAGAGCCTGATTGCACAACAGCAACACGAACAAATGCGGACAAGACAAGTGGCACCAAAACACCGTGTTCATTGTACCGAGGAGAAGAAAAAGGAAGAACATCTTCTTCTGAGGCGTGGCTTTTTTTCGTGCGCGTTTCTAACGGCGACGATAGAATATAATGTGCTGGCGTCGATGTTTTGCCGCCGCGCTGTCGAAAGGCTCGCTGGAGTGCGGCTGTGGCGATGGCTCCGATGAGCGGGCGACAAATGCGGGAAAAACGCCCGTGAAAGACAAACTGTTGACTCTTTTCACTCCTCCCCCGAAGCGCCGTGGCGCCTTTGACATTCCTGGTGTGGAGAGAAAGGAAGGGGAGAGAGCGGGGGCTACAGCGGTGTCGGCTCATCCCCATCATCGCACCGTCTAGGCCCCTGTCCTCATTGCTCGTGCTCTACGTCGTGTTCGGCGCGCTCCGGGTGGAAAGGTCGGCACCCCTCTGCCATCCTTCCAGAAAAGGACTCGAGATCATCCCCACTGTCTGTGAAGATGGTGACGAGATGGGTAGATCTCACTGCGGGGAATAACCATTTGGGTTGTGATGTGGTGGCTCTCGACGACGTCAATGCGAATCTCTGCGACCTGAGGGCTGCCGTCTTCACCCGGCTGTCTGGAATCATCAGGTTTTACGTCCCCCTCGCTGGCGGTACGTGACACGTGGGGTGAGGGGACATCGAAAGACTGCGTTTGTGTTCCGTCAGCTTGCTCCCTCTATTTCCGAGGCACAAGCGGAGACTTGGGCAGACTCGACCAGCGTGTGGTGGACGAGTTTCCCGTTGAGGGCGACGCCAACCGGCACAAACGGCATGGACAGGACAGGGCACACGCCATACCGATGTGCATCCACACCAACAAACGAGAAGGGAAGGTGCGTACTCGTTGCTCGGGTGAAACAGCTCTCTCTCTCTCTCTCTCTGTATGTGTGAGTGTGTGTGTGTGTGTGTGATCCCGTCGATCAGGTGTGGGCGAGGGAGGTGGCCGTGGCCTTAGCGTGGGGCAGGCTGGTCTCACTGTGAGAGCGATTGGCGTCCCCGTTCCGACAGCATGAACGGGGCGCCCTGCTGCGCCGCGTTCCGTCGATTGGCCACACATACACCCGGCGCGGCAGCGGCACAGTGCCTCTCCTCCACGATCCAGCGACCGTCCTCACAGGCGACGGGGAGGAGACCAGCACAGAGCCATCGACAAAGGCATTCCCCCAAATGGATTCCCCTTCCGAGCCGCAGAGACTCTGAGACGGGGCGAGCACCAACAATTTCTCGTCACTACGGCTGACGGATGACATGTCTACTTCATGTTTGTGTGACGGATCAGTGGACGTACTGTGTGTCAATAATTGTGTCAGCATGAGGGTCTTCAAGGCAGCGGTGCAGATCATGCAGGACGCGGGATACCTCAACGAGCCGGATGAAGGTAGGGAGGAGCAGTGGAAGATGCCAGCATACCTCGACGACGACGAGATCGAGCCAATGGTTGATGCAAGGCTCATTCTGCCAGAGGACCCTTTCTTAGCCTGACCACCGATCGTCGATGCGGTCTCTGGTTCCTGCAATTGGTGAACATGGCTGTGTCTGATCATGTGTCAGGGTTCTGGGGGCGTAGTAATAGTAGCTACGAAGGCGATTGTGTCCATTCCCCTTTTTGTCCTGCCGTGGTTGAGTGTCGTGTGAGCCTTGTGTTCATTGGTTGTGTGGAGACGTCTACTTGACTTGTACACATTATGCATGGGATGCGTGTCAATCAATGGGACGGACGGACACTCACTTCATGACCTGTCTGTCTATTCGTACACACACTCACACTGACTACACCAACGCACCACGACACACACACACACACACACACACACACAAAGACACCCCATCTATCTTCAAAGCAGCGGACGTCTTTTGAGTGAGCCGGAGCTGTACAAATCGATGTGTGAGAGAGAGGATGATGTTGCGGATCGCTCGTGGTGTGAAGACGTTGATGGCTAGCCACGATAACCGTGTTCACACCACTGCCTTTTCGCATGAGTGATAGATGGGGAGGGACCTTTGCATTTATTCACTCATGCGGTCCACCATCTATCGCACCACATGCACACTGGACGCCATGAGCCCATGACAGCATCATCCTTTCGTCGCCGTCTACATATTATATTGTGGCTGTGTGTTGAGACCACTGACGCGTCGTTCGATGTAATTTGACACCGAAACACAGGCATGCATGGAGGCAGCCATTAATCAGTCCACACGAATGCACAAGACACGCACAAACATGCACGACGTCAAGTCTCTGTCCGACCAACCCACCCAGCTAAAAAGATGGGCGTGTGAGCGTGTGCATGCGTTGGCAGGTGGCCGGCCGATGTTGACGAAACTTGCCTGGGTGAACAAGGGGGAGGGCCCTGTGCATGCTTTTGTGTTTCCGCTGTTTGTCCCCCTCACACCCTCTCTCACATACTCACTCCCCCTGTGGGTGTGTCGATGGACGGATGGCGTCTCCCTGTGGCTGAGTGGCTGGGGAGTGCTTTGAGTGCTTGTGAAAAGGAGTGCAGACATTGCATGTCAAAAAGGATGGCAGATAAGTACAGGTCCTACTATGATACAGATGCCTAGCTATGGTACAGATGACTCAGTCTGGTTTTCTTTCAGCTGCCACAGATACAAGACACGCCGACAGGCAGAGACGTGGTGGATGCCATGGATAAAGACCAAAGACTATCGATACACAAATATAGTAGAGGGTCGCTGACAGATACGTACTGGAAGGTCACTGTCTTGTCACTCTGGTCTTGTCTCACACGAATGAACTGCTTTTTTGAAGTCTTGAGTCGTTGATGGAGTCAACGGGATCCTGTGAGACAGGTCGCAGTGTCGTATGTCTTCCACTTTTTCATTTGCCTTTGAAGGCCGCCGTCGCCGTCGCCTCGTGTTCTGTTCCCGCTGAAGCTGGCCCAGTCGTCTAACAAGGGCCACAAGGAACTGGCGAATGCCCTCACGGCTCAAGCAATCCCTGTGAAGAAGAACGCAACAGTAGTGAATGACTAGCATCCAGAGGGCAAAGGCTTGCACTAACCACGCGAATCTGTGGCCGACCCAGGCTATTTGCCGCGCTACTGCATCGTTCTTTTGGAACCACTGCACTTGCCTCTGTAGATCACGTGCGCTCGAGAACGGAACCAGAAGCAGTCGCTTAAGCGGTGAATCGTAGAATTGAGACCCAAGGAAATTCAGCTGATCCTGGAACACGACAGCGCCACTCAGGAGAGAGAGGCGCAGCCGGTGAGACCACGGGCCAAACTGCGCCACAGAGAAATGGACAGAGAATAAGGTATTTTGCGTGTGTAAGACACATTGTTCACATCCTGACCCCTGATAGACGATACAGGACGCGTTGGCCATGGGGGAGAAAGAAAGATTGAGTGTCTTACCGACAAGGTCCAAGTGATATTTGTGTGTCAGTAGCTGCCTTTGCCACTCAGCCGATGACATCTCGGCAGCGCGACAGATATGAGACGCTTTGCAGCCCAGCTTGCTGCAGCCAACAACGAGAGAGAGGCATAGCAGTGTCAAGAAGGATGGCCTACGTCTGTCCTACCGCTGCAGCTCAAGAGCTTTGCCGGTGCAGTTCTTGCCGGGTGTTTTCGGATTGTCGCCGTCGGCGATATAGAAGGCATCGGACAGCGCTGGATCGAGAACACTCATCTCACAGGCCAGCCTCACACGCGACTCATCAGTCATCCTGGAACACCAGCAAGAAGTCGCAACTCACACAAGTCGAGTTCTACCTTCCGACGAAGAAGACGGCCTCACGCTTGCCGCCCCACATGCGCTTCCATATCTCCTGGGACATCCCATTGTCTGCCGATCCAGTCAGATTCGTCCGAATCCATGTCTCCTCATCGTTATTATACTGAAAGTAGGGTAGTGCAGGTATGTCCCACGTGTGGGCAGGATACGACGAGGTCGACAGCAGCAGTCCATTCGGAATGCCACCATCGGGGCCTCCGACAGGGAGATCGGAGGCAAATTCCAGATCAAAGCCTCCTGTTCTGTTCCTGGTTGCAACAAGGTCTTGATCCTTTGATGCGCACAGGTTGAATGCGTTTTTCGACGCACTCGTTCGCCTGAAATCAAGAGGATAGTGAGAGACCACAGTGCCGAAACCAGCGAAAGGAAATACCACACACTTTACCACATTCGTGGGCAATCTTCCATCTGTGTATGGTGAAGCACACGTGAAATGCCTTTAACGAATGGCGGTGTTTAGATAGGCCTTGCCTGTATCGTCAGATTTGCATTTGGCAGATGGATGCCCTGCGAAATCGCGTAATCGATCGCCTCAGCGAAGCGCCGCAAGACAAGATGGGGATAGCTGGGAGATCGACTGAGCTTCCAATAATTGTGCGGGTGGCATTTCACTAACGGGTGACCTGCAGACATCACAACACACAATAGAACACGCCCACCGAAAGACACTATTGACCATACAATAAAGTCGTCCGTCGACCAGACTTATTCGGAATGGCTGATAGCGCAGATACGGTATCTGCACGGCAGCGTCTGCAACGCGCTGCACGGCAGGTTTGCCCAACTCCGAGCTCAGCTTCTGAAGACCTTGCACAGCGGGGAAGAACAGGGACTTGTCTGTTTTGGGATGGCGCGTCCGAACCTTTCAGAGTGGGATTCTGGTCAAGCGCTTCCTCCCAATAGCGGTCGCTGCTCGAAGCGGATAGATATTCCAAGGACAGAATAAAATATTGTGACCCGGTTCCCACCAATGGTTTCTGAGCAGGTCATCAAGTCGGCCTGCGAACAATTTCAAGGCCGCAAGGTTGATCGGGGCTTCGTTGCTACCAGAAGCGTCGTGACTCGTAAGAGCTGTTTCCTCTTCGGACGGCCGCTCGACGTACAGAAGCGTGGCGGGAAGTCGAGACCGGTTGACAGCGATGATGATGACGATGGAAATGGCAACAAGAGCCAGCCCCAGCTGATGATATTGCAACCGCGGGTTCATCTCTTAGATGATATCACGGGCTACGAGCCTGATGTGGAATAATCGCCTACGCTCCTCTATTCTGGACTCGTCGTCAAGTACGAAATCAATCCTCTCTCTCTTGCTCTTGTTTCGTGCCGTGGCTCCCGTCCATGCTTGTTCTCGTCCCTGGCGTGCTCTCGTCTGGCCAAAAAAACCTGGTCACATCGACGTTTACGCTAACGCTCACTGCCCCCTTCAGAGCCAACCCGCACATATCTGTATTTCAGTATGGTTGTCTGTGGCTGGCGTCTCCCTGCCGTCGCTTTGTTTCTCCTACACCTTTTGCCGCTCGCGCAGACGAATGCCTTGAAAAGAGGCCAGAGCCAGAGCCTCAGGCGAGTTCAAGTAGAGGGTCCGTTCACGTACGTCCACCCACCTCCAGGAGGCGTCCTTGTAGCATCCAAAGTGAGAAAGAGAAAACTCGGAACAACAGAAACTGTCTCTTGATGTGGTGTATGGTCAGACGGCAATTATCGTGAGAGCCGCATCGAGGGTCACGGAGGACTCCATATCAGGCAAGATCTCAGCGACAGTCCAGGGTGCCCAAGTCGATGGCCGTACATCGCTGTCGCTAGATGGACAGACGATCGTTTTCGTGCCCTTTGTTCCATTCGAATGTACGCAATGTGTGTCACGAGCGGAACAACGATTGAAGCACTGCTTGTGTGTGTTCGCGCAGCGGGGGCACATGTTGTCACGGAGGTCTTCCCGGGCATCGTGTCGGCTGATGGGGATGTGCTGAGTGGGAGCGCTGAGTGGGAGTTTCATGTCGCCACTGTCGATCCTGAAGGATTCATTGTGGGGGCGAAGGATCTAAGCGGCACCTTGTTTGCGAATCCCATGCGCCAGTACGACGACGGGCTGATAAGACCTATCGGTAGGTGTTGCTCCCAGTCAGCAGCGTATGCATAATCTGCGGCTATGCGCCAGGCAACGACACCCTCACAAATGGCGTTCAACGATACGGACCGCTCTACGACAACGGCAAGGCGATGGCGATTTATGATGGGCCGCTCTCTCTTGATCCGCGAGCACGGTATCGAGGCTATCGGACAATACCTCCAACCTTCCCCAAGATTCGGTAGTATCCACAGATTACGGGAAACACTACATGAACGACTGCTGTGAATACAGGGTCAATGTGGCCCCGAAAGAGGGCGAGGTCGCAGAGGGTTACATCTTCATCGGCACGAACATTGCCTTTGTTGGAAACGACGCACTCGACTCGCAGTTCTACGCATACACACTCGTATGCATCGTAGCTGCGAGCCGCCTTTCTGTCAATCGTCTAGCTACCTATGTGGTGGCTTTGCAGATTCTCGACAGTGGTGGTGACGTCGTCTGGTACCATCAGCATGAGCCTCTCCCTCAGTTTGCACTGGTGGAGGGTGAGCATTTGACAGCGCACGCAGGTCGAGGCTGGACGTGGGCTTTGTACACCTCTGTGCCGAATGACGGCAGATAGAAGAGCCAAGGGAGAGCTCATGGCGAACGGAGAGGTATCTTTGTTGCTTGACGAAGGGGATTCGCGGCGCACCTACACATTCAACAATCACTATCAGCTCGTCAAAGGTAAAGACAAAGCGACTCACGCAAAGAAAAGACTCCTCCTGGCGTGACTCAATGCTGCTGTGGTCCGTCTGCTTTGTTTTCCAAGAATACAGCCCAGCCGCAGGATATGCACACATCCCCGCAGGTCGAGCACCTGCATCTGGTGTCTTCTGTTTGGCCACCCCTCTGATTGGTCTGTGTATGTCCATGTGTGAATAAAAATGCGCATGACTTTCAGGTTACTTTCAAGTGGTCACCAACACAAGAGACCAACAATCAAAGAGTGATGGGGTCGTGCAGGTCAATTCGGACGGCAGCTACCTTATTCTCCTGACCGTGCGGCACACACTGGACCTCACGGGCATGGTCGAGGGCGGGAAGGCGGACGATATCGTCCTTGACCATGTTGTCCAAGAATTTGATCTTTCAGGTGGGTGGATTTGCATCCGTGGGTGAATGACATTTTGTCTGTGGTCGAGTGCACATGTGCGCAGACACGCTGGTATTCGAGTGGAGGTCTTGGGACCACTTCACGCACGAGCAGCTGCTCAAGTGGACAGACGTGGAGAAGGCCCACTTGAATGGCGACTGGGACCTCATGCATCTTAACGCGTGAGTCGACTTACTTGCCAGAGGGCCATATCGATCGCACGTACAACTTGAAATGCTACGACTCTGTGCGACTTGTGCATCAATCCATGCATGGCTATGCCGTGACGACATGATCAGTCTATCGTGTAAGTGCGCGCACCTACTCGACGACGGAGGTGAGTCCCTCTTGGTTGGTATGCGTGTTCGTCGGTATGGCATCAGGGACGCCAGATGGTCACCTGCTCTTCTCCTTGCCGTCATTATCCGGCGCGATCAAGGTACGCCAGACACGCTGACTCACGACTGGAGGGAGAATGGCTTTTTGTGCTCAGGTCAATCGAGGTACAGGTTGCCGAAGAAGGTATGGCTCAAACTTTCCCTCCACTCCTGTGCGCGCGCAGAAACTGGAGACGTGATGTGGCGCATCTTCGGCAACGAGGCATTCAATCAGTTCACCTTCGATCCCCCCTTCTATCCATCCATTTCCCACCAGCACGACGTCCGCTTCAGCGGCCCGAACACCATCACACGTAGATAGACTGAGTGAAGGAGAGAGCACCCTCATGAAGCATTCTGCCTGTGTGTCAGTGTTTGACAACGGAAACAACAACAATCCTACAGTCTCAAGTGAGTGATACAGGGGAGGACTGCCGGAAAGGAACCTATCTGTTGCCTGTGCCTGTCTCTATGCATCAAAGGGGCTCTTGAGTTCGAGGTGAATGGATTGATGTCGGATGGCTATGCATCCATGCGCACATCCCGCCGAGATTCTCGCCCACCGACATCTCTCTCTCCTCCTCTCTCTCTCTCTCTCTCTGCCTGATAGATTGACGAAGAGAGCCGCACAGCCCGCCTGATCTTCAGCTTCTCTGACGAGAACCGCTTCTCTATGTGCCAAGGGTCTACCCAGAGACTGAGTAATGGCAACATCGCCATCGGCTGGGGTGGGCTCAACCTGACTGACCCGCTTCCCTTCTACACGGAGGTCACTCGCACAGGAGAAATCGTGTTGGAGCTCCAGGTAAATCAACCTGCACAAGGCTCCTCGTGCTTTTCAGCAGATGGAGAGCGATGCCCATGTTGTTTGTCACTAGATGGAGAGCGATGCGAACGCCTATCGTGCGCGGAAGCATGACTGGGCGAAGGCCATACCTGTGTGGCCACCCGCCATTGTTCTCGATATGAACGAAGGAGAATGGAGTGACGACAGACCACCAAGGCTGCACTACAGGCAAGGCGACAGGAGTGTGGCGTGGGCCCTAACCAGGACACAATGTTAAGGATGCGATGTCTTTGCGTGGGTTCAGCTGGAATGGTGCGACTGTCGTGTCTGGGTGGCGAGTGTACGCTGGCGTGGATCCCGATTTGTTGGAGCTTGTTGCTGAGCATCCGCGGGAGGCCTTCGAGCACTACCTCGACCTGGGCCACGGCAGCCCATTCTACCCGGTGGGCAATTGTGTTTACTATCAGGTCGAGCCAGTGGGTGTAGGTGGACAGGCCTTCATGAGGTCCGCTCTTCTCTCATCGCCTTCGTGTGCCCAAGAAGATGTCTCTTAGTGGACAGAGGGCGACGTAGATCGAGAGAGGCAGGGGATCATGACAGCTCTAGTGGTGAGTGCATGGAGGGGAGTTTTGAACTTCTGATGTCCTCCCTCCACATGCAATTTATGTGAGGAGTGTGTGAAGTTTGTGTCCCATAGTTTCATGCACTGACCGTCCTATCAGCAATGTCTGAATTTTGTACGAGGGGAGTGAGAACAAGGGGAGTTAGTTAGCGAAGGTTGTTCTGCAGCCATCCAGCTATGCATTCTCTCTTCTGCTGAAATGCATGAGGAGTGTTGGTTTTGCAATGGCCAGCCACTGTCTGTTGAAGCAGTACGTGGGTCCCCCGTGAACTTGTTGTACTGTAGGCACCGAAAGTAAGGTGAGAAGAAGACGGGCGAGACATGGCGGACCCAATTACGGGCACTCTTTTGTCGCGTTGGTGTGTCTGTGTTGACTGGTGTATGACAACTCAATTCATCTCGGACGATGGTGCATCGAATATGTCGTGGAATCGTCCTTCACTGCCCGCCACTTTTTTTGGCGCCGAATGCTTCTACGCACTCGTCCAAAGTTTGCGTCTCCAATACACAACAACACACTGGCATTCACCAGTCTCACGTACGTCACTGAAGGCCAGCTCAAAGCGTGGCCCAAAAAGAAACATAAGAGAGGCACCATGCGTGCATGTGATATGGTTTGACTACTCTGGCTGATTCATTCGAGGCTCGATTTCAACATGCTTAACACGAACATCTGAGAAGAGCCGTCCGTGTTTATTGCATCATGTCTCTCCCTCAGAGGAGCCATGGATGTCTTTTGGCACACAAGGCTCAAGTCAGGAGCTCACGAGATCCCCCTCCCGTCCCCCTTGTGGCCTGTGACCACAGCACACGCACCGCCTACATAATGGACGGAAGTGCTGCCTCTGCAGCGTGGGAAGACAGAGAATAGCATGAGTCGACGACTGTCGATGCCATGTAGAAGGAAAAATGAATTGGTTACCATTGGCATGGTACAGGCATGATTAGCTCGTGCGACCAACAAAGGCCGAGCCAACGGCACAATGCAAAGACTAATACGTGTCAACGTGCACAAGAGAAAGCAAAAGCACCACCACCCCCAACGACCCAAAACATGCAGCGAAGTGGGCATGCAATCTACATGTACTGCCTTGCTCGCGACGCATCGGCATGGACAAAGACACTGACCGACGAGCGGAGTAAAGGCAATCAGCTGCCCGTCAGGATAGTCGCATCACTGGTGATTTTGGCGCCATCAGCACCCTTGATGCTTTCCCTGGGCTCACAACTGCCGTCGTGCGGCTGCTCGGTATAGCGCTGCACACATGCCAAGACACACAATGAAGGGAAGACAGACTACGTGTCCTTTCCTCTTCAGATGCGCGCCGTACCACTCGGCATTTGCTGGGGGAACCTTCGCCTTTTGCACACCGTATCTGCACCGGCGAATGCCCACATGCGGACACGTACGTGTGTGGGTAATAGTCTATGCTCACCTCTACGGAGACCCCATTGAGGTCGTCGCCATCGGGAGGCGCGTCGCCCTCCAATGTCTCTATCTTCAACCAAATGGCGTCCTCAGAGACATTCGGGCTATCGCTGCCTGTCTCGCTTTCTTCGCAATCACTCGTTGCGGCTCTGACGGGCACACAGACGAGGGTGTGTGTAGGGGCAAAGGGATCAAAGCAAGGTACCCACCCATTCTTTCGAATGCAAGCTTTCAGGTCCGCATCTCCTTCTTCGCTGTCGAGGCCTGGCAGAGTCACAGAGAACCACCACAGTGGACGCTGAAGCTTGGCTGACATCAGTGCTTACCGACAGCCAGGTATTTCAAGGGGGAATCCTCCTCCCAGTTCACAACCACTTCTTCGGTTTTCCCCTCCGCGATGGAAAACGTCCGGTCGTTCCTGGTTTCTGATGAAATGAGTGCACACACACATGTCAGGCTCTCCATGTTGTCTTTCTGAGCTTTTGCCCTGTGGACGCACCCGGGCACGCTGCAAGAGAGCGGAAGTGGCGCACACCTGACGCAGAGAGCGAGATGGGAATGGCGCACAAAGAAGAGAAGGCAAGCAGGCGGCAAGCGGCCATCGTGTTCTGGTGCGTCCCGTTGTCTGCCCTCGCTCACTTGGTCCGGCCAGCCCAGGAGAGGCAAAGAAGGACAGGCAGAAGAGAACGGCGAGGGTCGGGAGGGAGACCATGATGAGTGCGCACGCAGAGGAAGAAGCCTGGTGGAGTGGAAATCCAGCGGCCTTCCAGATCCAGATTTTTCCACCCGTTACTCCCGTTATTTGTACATCGTTGCCCCCCCCCCCCCCCT